GACGACGATGATTTCCGTCTTAAGGCGGCCATGTTGAACATGCGGAAGTGTTACGGACACGCATGCGCAGTACCCACGATCCTCTGCAAATGCAACTCCGAGCATTCCTTGTAGCCCGCAAGTGGCGTGGAATTTGTTTTGTCCTTGCAGCACGCGCAGTATGGCAGTGGCCACCATTGACCCTTTTGATCTCTACTTGCTGACTCCTTGTGTTTAATAGCTCCTTGATATTCGTTCACAGCATGAGTCCAACATAATAAACTCAACCGACGCCTAAAATTCGTCCAAATTTTACTTACTGTCTCTTTAAAGAGATCCAGTGCTACTTTGTGATGGGGCGACACTGATTTATTGGCGTACATCTACATCACTACTTTCCATTTTAGCTACAGCTATAAATTTATTGGCAATTTAGTATTTAGAAAATCAAAATTTGTCCCTCATTACTGAAACGGCAATATACAAAGGAAAATATCAATATTAGAAAGGCCAAGGAGGACTGCTCAGCGCATTATCCACTCTAACTTACCATCCATTACTTCTCTGTATGAACAGTGTGTCTTGCTGAAAGTTCATAAGATAATACTCGATCTTTCACATCCACTCAATGACTTGTTTAAATTCAACAGATCCAGTATACATCTCTGTGTTCCATCTGCTACACGTTGTCGTGCAAAAATTCTTTTGTCTCAAATGCAATCCACTTGTTTAATAGGTTTGTGAATAGGTAATTAATTATCCATGCTGCTAGACGTTGATTCTTTACTGTGAAGTTATTTACTGTGCAATGTTCCCGTACTTTGGTCCTTTAATTGTACTGTATCATTAATTGGTTAGTGATATGCATGTTGCATGTTAATAGTTTATATGTAGCCCTTTTTAGAATTGCCAGTGGAAGTTGAATTTCTATGCTTTTTAGTGTGGACAATAAAATGAAACACTGTATACATGTACAGTACATGTGTACAAGGAGCATAATCCTTTCTGATGCCCCCTTTCGGACCATTGTTGGTTTTTAGCTCAGGCACTATTGTACCTAATTGAGCAAGTTCGATCAGCGGCAGTTTGTTAACCACTATCCAATTTTCCCTGATGACCGATATATATTTGATGCATACGTTACCAGTCTAAACCGACAACTGGTTGACTATTTGTCGCTGATCGAACTTGCCAATGCAAGTAACTGCCACTATGATTTCAGTTTCTCTAGAAACCATTCCAACATCAGCGCCACCAACGGTAGAGTTGATATGCATCCCAAGATAAAAAAGGCCCAGTCATAACTGCCAGTCTGGTCGTACATCCAACCTAATACAACAAAATCAACAACAAAATGATTGCAAGTCTCCAATTACGATCGTCCCTGGCTCATTACCCAGTTTGTAGAAGTGTATACATGTAGAGGTCTGCATTAAGTGCTCGGTTGACTCCAGGACCACTGTTCTGTTGGCCCAAAGCCTTACCCCACCTCACCTTGCAACTACATGCCCAGATTTCATAAAGTGATGGTAGGCTTCGGTTCCAGCTTTGTATTAGTCTTTATTCAAAGACCTTCTATAGTTCATTCCGCGATCCGCGACACGAACTACACAGGGTGAGAATCTTTGCATTTGCACTTCTCATAAAGTATCTCTCTTCTGTGTGTGTACATGCGTGAAATGCTTGTTTTGTTTGTGACACACGTTTTGTATAGGCTCTCAAATTTTTCATAAGCCTCATGCTAGCTGTACAGTTCCTGTGGGATAATCAGGCCCTGTACATCACAACTGTCAATGAAGCCATCAAAATGAGCCACTGTAGACTTCTCAATGAGAGCGAACGCTGCTGGTGGCTTTGCGTAAGTTGCAAATGTTTGATAAAAAAGTAAAATACACGTATGTCCGACTTGAATGAAAGCTACTGAACCCCCCGTTAACATTAACTCAGCCATTAGTTTTGTATGAAACCAATGGTTATCCATACCTGGAACGAATCCAAGACTAAAACTGAAAACAGCTGCCAATAATTCCATCCAGCTGAAAGCGCTAGCCAGGAGATCAACTCCAAGCAGCTCCCTTGTATAGAGATCGTTGAGTGTGAAAAGTGTCCCAGACGAGCCAAAAAAGAGAAAAGCATTGACCATCATTGGCCAATACGTGTTAATCCAGGGAGTTACCAAGAGAGTTATGGAACTCGTTATGATCGTCAGCACCATTGCACATCGCAGTTTCAACCAACCTCGGTCCACGATAAGACCACATGTGATCCTGCAAACTAAGCTACCGAACCCCGCAGCTGCAGTGAATGTCACAGCATCATCCGGAGAGAAGCCCTTGACCTCCGCTTGGGAAACGTAATAGATATACCAAAGATCAGCTGCGAAGTGGCTACATGTGAATACGACTCCTGTGATCCAAAATGAAACCCGACCACAAACGGAGAATCCAAAATGCTTCAGTTGAGCACCGATGGCATCTTTAAAGGCGCCAAATTGTGACTGTATCGAGTTGTCGGTATTCTTGGCACTAGCTCGTATCTCTTCATTAGTGTCGGCGCGAAGTAGCTGGTAGTTTCCCTTCGTTTGAGTTTCGGTCGAAAGTGATCGCAATGTGGCACCACACACGCCAAGATGCAGGCTTAAGCCACCCATAAGAAGCAAGGTACCTCTCCAACCGTACGTGTTCAGCAACAATTGGACAAATGGTCCTGCGGTGATCAATCCTACAGAGGCCCCCGATGTTCCAATTGCATTTGCAGTGCCATAGTTTGTTGGAAAACAGCGTCCAATCAGAGCTCTTGTCAGTATATTGACAAAAATGATAGTTGGTCCTGCAGAAAAGACAGTGTAAAAATATGCGTGTGAATGGGAAATCTGAACAACAATTATTTAAAGATTTTTATCCCAAGAAGTAAATTTATATTACTGATATAACGTCCTTACCAGCTACAAGTGACAGTGTCAAAGTGAACACCACAGGTTTGGTGGTAAAGGACGCGACGATCATAGACATTCCAACCAAGAAGCCGCTGACTGTGACCACAGTGCGGGTACCAAACATGACCTCCACAGGCCTGGCTAGTGGACCTATAGGGGAGAAAGTACGATGCATGGGATTTAAAAATTTCATAGGCTTCTGGTGTTGACACAAAGCTTATATTGAAGCAGATGAAGAGCACTCAGATGTTATTCAACTGAACGCAAACCAAAACAATTGTCATAATTTATTTTATGACTTATGCTGACTCATCAGAGACAAAACAAAGGAATAAAACAGGCTATGGCGAAAACTCATCACTATTTCTTGCAAATGTCATACTAAAGAAGTTGTAACCATGGACCTTGTTGATGAGCTATAAGATGACATTACCAGTGAATGCAGATGCCGTCCATAACTTGAATAATACGATGGCTGGAAGTGAAGGTGAATTTTGAAAGGTTTTATTTCGTCATATACCCTGGGTGATTGGGGTTAATTAAAAGTCATATATTATCGACCCTTCCCAATTTAATATACTGTGTCATTACAACAAGAAAATTGTACGGATCGAAGTCAAGACAACAAACGAGAGAATACCGACTGCTTTGCTTTTGGATGTGCAAGTTCCCCATCTAGAGCTGCAGTCTGTTCAGTGTATTTTCATCAGATCAAAATCCGATCCTGTGTCCATACATTTACTTTTCAGCTTCAAACAAGATGGGGCCTTGGCCGAGTGCAAGAAG